TAAAAAAATAAAAATAAAAAAATAAAAATAAAAAAAAAATTTAAAAAAAAGGACAAAAAGGAAAAAAAAAAAAAAGAATTAGCTTGTCTTTAAGAAGTGGCAGTGTCCTGCAGGGTGCGCTAATGGGACAAGAAGTGAAGTTGGTCCTGAGAGCCTTTTGAGGGCAAAGACTATCCTGAGCTTTGTTTCTCATGGCCAACTCAAGCCTGGCAAATGATTGTTGCTAAATATTTGTGAATGAAATTTGAGAACTGCTTCTCTGAGGTAATTTGGAATTCTATTCTTCCCTCACAACAAAGGCTAGGTAGAGAGATGCTGCAGTTACCCAGCATGAGAACATGAGACCCAGAATATGACAGGAGCAGCAATAGGAGTGAAGAGGAACGGACAGTTGAATAAAGAGAATGGACAGTTTAGACAATTCAGAGCAATTAACTGGCAACACATTATTAAATACCAATTGAGGGCCAGCCCCGTGGCTCACTCGTGAGAGTGCGGCGCTGGTAGCACCAAGGCCGCGGGTTCGGATCCTACATAGGGATGGCCGGTGCGCTCACTGGCTGAGCGTGGCGCAGACCACACCGTGCTGAGGGTTGAGATCCCCTTACTGGTTGAAAAAACAAAACAAAACAAAACAAACAAACAAAATACCCAACTGAACAACAGACAATAGTGTTCACATGCACACTTAGGGATGCAACTACAACTATATAATATATTCAGTAACTAAGCAACACAGAGAGTTCATTTTACAGAAGAGCTCTGTGGTTTCCAGAACCATCCTGCCAGAGGTCCTTCCTGTAAAAAACTGTCACCCGTGAGTAGAGTGTTAAGTTATGCCACTTCCACAGGGTGTTCTTCCAATGAAGATGGAGAGAATTCCTGGAGCTGGCTAAGGACAACTATCCTAGCTAACTGCTTCCCCATACTTCTATTTCAAGAACTTAAGTCTAGGAGCCTATTTAGAAAGAGCATCTTTTAGTAAGGAGGAAACAGCAAAGTCAATAAACTTAGGGCCTGTGTCAGAGTTGAAACCCCTGTAATTCATTTCGATGGGAGGTCAACCCCCTCCAGGGTGGCAGGTCAGGGAAACAGATCTGTGGACAGAGCCAGGCTGACGAACACTCTAATCCTGGTAAATCCTCAAACCACACCAATCCTCAAATAAACTGTGGTTATAAGATTCTCATACTGCAGCTGTTTCAACTTTGCTCCCTGCAAAAGCACCAATGGTCAATCACTGCCTCCTCATATCCACTGAGTGGGTGAGGTTTGGCCAAAGGGAAGTAGAAAGGCTTCAAGGCCACAGCACTTGCTCTGATACGACTCTGGTACACTGCAGCTGTACAGTCACAGGAAGTCTGCACCTTCATCATAGTCTGCAGAATGCTTATGGCTAGGTTGAGAGCTGATTTTTGATTAGCAATAAATCCGGGTTGAATTAGAGACCAAGGTAGTCTATAAAAGTTTCCCAACCATAGTGCCATAAATGGATTATACGTAAGCTGAGATACTAATTTCTTTAGAGCGGGGGTGGGCATGGCCGGTCACTTCTGGCTGTAAGCAGCCTCAACAGATTATCCCAGTGTGTCTCAGTTTATCCTTGAATATCATACAAATGTCTTTTTGTGTTATAAGGTGAAAAAGTTAGGAAGCATTGGTCTATAGTATTACCTTGTTTAAAGATCATCTTTATTCCTAACAATTTTTGTATTCAAAATAAAAGTTTGAGACCCTAATACAGCCATGGTTCTTAACTTTGTTTGATCACTATCCCTTCGAGAATCTGATAAAGCCGAAGATCTTCTCTCCAGAATAATGCACCACCACTTACTTGCTCAAGAACTATTTTACATACAACTTCAGAGGGTTACAGAATCCAGATTGTCTCTGTTCTAGAAGGGTTATCAGACAAACCCAAATTTAGTAATTTTAGAGGGGTGTATCTGCTCCCCTACTCTTTAACACAGCTTCAAAAAACACGAGAAACCTCTGAAAAAGGTATACTGAACTCCCTCAAAATTTCCTGAGGAGCATGCAGAAACGACTATCAACTCCAACTGGCATTTCCAAGAAACCCCCAGCTGCTCAGAGGGCAGAGGGGATATGCTAATCACTGGTTCCAAGCACCATCTACCCTTGCAATATCAACTGCTGGCTGTTGGGAATCACAGGTACAAAGTAGTTCTCTAAACACCTCCCATTGGGCTTGGATGCATTTTGGTTAGTATTTATACTAAGAACCCCATGTAATCCTTCACCCTGCAGTCTCCCTTCTTCATTGCAAGCACATGACTTTGTTCATGTGTATTAATCACTCCACAATTTCCACTAATCAAGGCAAGGTTGTACAAATGGGGAAAGGAGGGAGAAGGAACATGTAAATCAATTAATTACAGCAGCGTCTTTATTGCAAACAAAGAACCTATAATAAAATGCAACAAAACTAATGTTTCACTTTACATGATTAAAAGCCATGTAGCTTAAAATGAGAAAACCCATAAACTTACTGGAGTGAGACATGCAATTCTTTTTATACAAGTCAATGCTTAAAACAGCAGGCACTTTATGTTCTAAAATTAAAGACCTGAACTCCAATTTTGCTGAACACAACATAAATTTGTATTTGGGTTATTTAAAAACAAACATACAAACACTACTTTTTCTCTCTGTGAGGGATGTTTGAAATGATTACCTAGAGCCCAGCACCTTGCACTAACATATCTCCAAATTTTAGTCTGGAAGATGGACAGGTGAGGCTGGGTAGGGTTGGGAAGGTGGAAGTCAGAAAGTTTTCCTTTACATCTGCTAGGAATAGACACCTTACATATCTTAGTTTAGATATGGCCATGTTTCTTTTCTTACATCAAATAGCTGTAAGATGGGCTCCCAGGTTTAAGCAAGCACTCTACTCTACATCCCAATAACCAAATCCCCCACAATACACCAAGGAAGACACATTTAGAGTAACAATTTTAATTAACTTTAGAATGTCATATACTAATTAGCTTCATTAATAAGCATGCTTAGCATTTACTTCAGAATGGAAAAAATAACCATTTTATGTGGTTACCTTTACAATGTTTTATACGAATATATTAATAAATACTTCTTTAAAAATTTGCCTTATATATCATTTAACTACCATGAGTCAAGACATATGGATGGAGTCTAATACCAACTGAATGTTAACTGGCTGTGTGGCCATGGGTATATTTTCTCCTTTCTCTAGTATGTAGGTTCCTCCTCTAACAAATGAGAACATTAGATTAGATTATATCAAAGATTTATTCCAGCTTGAAAAATTTATGATTCTATAATAACGAAAGATCTTATAGACATCATTCTACCTAAAGAGAAAATGATGTTGTAGAGTGTTGAGACACACCTTCTGTAAGGAATAAAACAAGTAGTAAAAACAAAGTAAGCATAAATACCTGTATCTCATTCTTTTAAAAGGTAATACATGCATTGTGACTTCATTCTCTTGTGTGAGGACTTGGAAGAGCCAGAAATGGAACAGAAGGAAAAACCTTCATTCAAAATGAATCTCCAAAGGGAATACAAAGTTAATATCTCCTGCTGCTTTCAGAGTGAGAAGAGGCCAATAGTTATCACAGATGAGCAGCTTTCTCTCCTATTGTTTGAAGTTCTTGTAAAGCAGTCCAGTATAAAAATCACCTATTATTTTTTTATTCCAACTTCACTTTCTATAGAAGAGTTTCTTAGAGTCGTCTACAGATGACTTGCTTTTGAGTCACCTGGAAAGCTTGTTACAAATGCACATTCCTGGTCTTCACCCAAATCAATGGAATACAAATCTCTAAGAGTGAGTTTCAAGACTTCGCATTTCTTTTAGTAAGCATCCCAGATGAATCTTGGATTTTGAACTCCACTGCTCTACAATGCTCAAGTAACTATATCTGTTGATGATTATTGTTCAAGTGCACCCATTTATTAAGCCTGCAAAAACCAAGTTTGATGTTTAACCTAGTGCTTTTTGGTTCTCACAAACTGTTGTTACTTTTATATACCCTTGCCTTTTAAGTTGTTACCCATAATCAGGGTACAAACAGTTTTAGTGAGATTTCTACTGATTGCTTCGAGACTATGATGTCTTCCACATTGGCTATAAAAAACCAAATTTAGTCAAGCCTTCTTTCCACTAGTGAATTCAGTCAGACATTTTTTCCCCCTAAAGAAGCTGAATGGCATTTAAGTGACTAGGAGTTACAACAGAAACATTCCTTGTGATAGGAAGAAAGGGGAAGGCAAGATACAAAAGAAAAACACCTGTGAATTCAAGAGTACATGAGGTTTTCTAAGCTTTGTTTTGGTAAGAGATGCCATTTTGAAAAAATAGCCTTAATGGGTAAGATGTTTCAAATGAGTGGCTGTCTAAAAGCTACTGTATACCATTCCTACTTTGCATATAATTTAAGGATAGATCCTTGGAGGCCAACTAGACCCCAAAAAAACCACCCTCAACAGGTCAGATATATATACTTAAGTCAAAGGGGAAAATACTTTTTTGGGGAAGAAAAGTTACCCAAATCAATTTAATTTAACATTGAAAAAATATAAAATCGCGGCATGGGAAAATACCATAAACATGAAAATCAATACATATACAGACAATAAGGAAAAATACGGTATCTATTATACAGTATAAATACACAAACAGCAAAATCCAATCCCCTTTCCAAGGACAGAACCACCAGGTCACCCTGCCATTTCTGGGTTTCCCCCACATCCCACCTGGCCCTCAATGATGAGTACACCTCTGACACACAGTAACCATCCTTACTAATGGAGGTTGTGGCTCTCCATGGCAGAAATCTACTCTTGCTATAGTGGCGAGAAAGAAATAGAGCAATTTTTCTTGAAGAGTTGTTTAAAAGTACTGGTAACAAATACTGAAGCTTGTGATAAAAAGAATCAAACTCAGATACCTTCCCTGCCACTGGCTCCAATGTGAGTGATCTAGCACCCCAAGACTCTAAGAGGGCAGATCCTAATCAGCCTATGAACTTCCCTCATAGTCAAGTGTTAGGGCTAAATGAGGAAAATGTCATAGCCTTTCAAGAAAACAAGAAAACTCGTGTGTGTGTGTGTGTGTGTGTGTGTGTGTGTGTGTGTGTGTGTGTGTGTGTGTGTGTGAGATACAGGGATCCAAACCCATGATCTTTGTTGTTACAACTCAAGAAAACTGTTTATAGGCTTTAAACACTGAAAAAGAGAGCCATGGCTTGTGGGGATTAGCTTACAGTAAAGAGGTTGTCTGGAAATCTTTTCATTTTAAGATCACAATACGTAAATTATGTTCAAATTATTTTAAAAGGATAAAGTTTAAATCTGTAAGGTTTCCAAAATTAAGAGGAAAAATAACAAATTTTGGAATTATGAAAGTAACTCTAAGGAACTTTTCCTCTCCTGACCATGTTAGTCTGTAGCTGTGTTGGCAACAGAGTGATGTAATTCTGGTTTCCTCAACTAACATTCTAGGAGTTTAAATTTTATTTCCCAAACTTTTTCATGAGTATTTTTGTTAAAAATACTTCTGCTTAATTCTTAAGCAGACCCTCACCACCTTCTTCCCCACACCCTGGTCTCCCACACCCCACCGTGATTCCCTTCCACCTCCCTAAAACTCTGGAATATTTTAATAAGAAAATACTGAATGGAAACTGGCACCACTAAGTTTTCTGAAGAATACAGGTGAATGTGTACTTTTTCCTTTTCTTAAAGTAAAAATAATAATAATAATAACTTGCCTGAAAATATTTAAGCTCTAATCATTTGATTAAAACTTTTCCATCTGTAATTAATGATATCATAAGACTAATTAAATCCACGCTACATATACAGTTACTTGCCTTTATGTGAAAGGAAAAAACCCACTCTGTCACATTACCAAAGAAAAATGAGAATTATTTATACTAGATAGTTTAAATTGGCTAAAAACTGGTCAGAGCCAAAGTAAGTGTCTTTAGGAAGCCACTAAGTTATCCTTGAAAAATCATTAATGACTGGTAAAGTCACAGGTTTAATAGTGATTAGTTCATAACATGCTGGATACACCCTAAGCAATGAAGCATAAGCTATTCAATTACATTTAAGTGCTTATCAAATTGGTAACTAGTCAGAGGTTCTGGAATTGAACCAAACCAATCAGTATATCATCATATTTTAACAAATTCAGAAGTATACTGTAAAAATACACTAATTAAGTCCATGAGGTTTATAATGCTATTAAAAGTGAAAATAGGGTAGTATGGATATGTGGTGCTAATGTCTTATTTCTTTCAGTAATTCTCCTGGTATTGCCAGGTCCCTTAGAAATATGTACCATTCAATTTTGTATGTGTATGGTTAAGTTATTAGATTACTATCTACAAGCGGCAGACACCTGCATGGCACCAAATTTACTTTCAGAAATAGATGTTATGTAGCAGGTACCAAAATGTGATGATCAATTCTGTGTTCTCTATTAATTAAACCTCCTCATTTGGTTAAACAGCCAGTGTACACCAGAGTTCTACGTAGGTCATAATTATATCACTTTCAGAGCAGCAATACGTGATCCAAGGTTTTCTTGAAGATAGTGCAAAAGATGCAGTTCATAATGTTCTCCGGATTCAGGAACTCTTATGCTGTGTCTCTCCTGAGGATAGATCTTAACAACAACAACAACAAAAAGATTTTTTAAAAAAAGAATTAAATAATATACCTCCTTCTAAAGCTTTCCAGAGATATTTAACACATTTAATAATATGGAGCACAACCTCTCTGTGATATTACATAATCACCTTCTATCTAAAGGCCCCTCTCCTCTTATAATTCCCTATAGGCTTAATGAAGGATTTCTCTGTAGACCAACAGTGCATTCTCCAAGAATGGTCTGCAGATTTTGAGGGGTTTTCAGAAAACTGCAAGGGATACACAAGGTCAAAACTATTTTCAGGACAATGTCAAGATTATTTGCCTTTATTCACTGTGGTGGCATTTGCACTGATGATGCAAAAGCAATGGTGAATAAAACTACTAGTGCCTTAGCATGAACCAAGGCAGTAACGTTAAATTGTACAAAAAGTCACATTACTCTTTACCACCTCACACTTGCTCTAAAAAAGAAAAATGCCAGTTTCACTTAAGTTGCAGCAAAAATTAGAATTTTATTAAATTGCAGTCCTTGACTAGAAGTCTTTTAATTATTCTGTGTTGATATAATGAGAAGTATGCATAAAGCACTTCTTTTTTTTTTTTTTTTTTTCCTTTTTGTGACTGGTAAGGGGATCGCAACCCTTGGCTTGGAGTCGCCTGCACTGCGCTCAGCCAGTGAGCGCACCAGCCATCCTTATACAGGATCCGAACCCTCGGCGAGAGCGCTGCTGGCGCTCCCAAGTGCTGCACTCTCCTGAGTGCGCCACGGGACCGGCCCTGCATAAAGCACTTCTGCTAGAGGATGTCTCAAGGATAAGTACTGTGTGATCAAGTTGCAAGCTGAACTGCTGCTTTTTTCAATGGAACTCAATTTTTAACTTTAAAGAATGACTGACAACTATGGATATCTGGTAGACATTTTCTCAAAAATGAATGAAGTAAGCTTGATTACTTCAAGGACAACACTGACAGTATTTGTTGCCAATGATAAAATTTGAGCTTTTGAGTGAAAATTAGAATTTTGGAAAACTTGTATCTACCACTTTTAGCTCATGAGCTTCTCCATACTTAGATATTTTTCTGATGAGATCAGTAGTAATATTACTATATGTGATCTTAAAAATATTATATAAAGAAAGGAGTCAACATTTGAAAGATTGGGATAACACAGTGAATGTTTTCCATATGACTGATGCATGGGTAAAAGATCCAATCTGAAGTACAAAATCCAATAGGTTTTAATGTGACAGAGTATGAAAAGTTTATAGATATGGCTTCAGATTCCACACTAAAATTAGGCTTTTAGAATTAAAATTAGGCTTTTTAGAAGCTACCATGTGTCCGGTTTTAGAATAGTATCAAAAAAGAATATCCACAATTATCTGAAAAGGCTAAAATATTGTACTCTTCCCATTTCTTAATAACATACTCTATGAGGCTGAATTTTCTTCACATACTTTAGCCGAAACAACATATCAACAGATTGAATGTAGAAGGATATATAAGAATTCAAGTGTATTCTTTATTGTTAGACATTAAAAAGATTTATAAAAATATAAAATAATGCTATTTTTTCCCTCAGTAAATTAAATATTTCTTGTTTTGGAATATAGTCTTTTTCCCCATAAAAAGTGATTTATGTTAACATGCAGTACTTTAATATTGTTATTTAAAAACAAACATTTAAATTTTTTCTCAGTTTTAATATCTTACATGAGAAATATTGATATAAACCACATAAACAAAATATAAAAGGGACCTTGACCTTAGACCAAAAGCTTGAAAATTGCTGTTATAGACAAATATCTCACAATTTAACTACACAAATGTCAACTGAAATATAAAAAAGGAAAAAGTAATGTTTTTCAATTCTTATAAGCACATAATCTGTTTAAAGAGTAGAAAGGAGGAACAGTTTCTCTTAAAAACTTTCTTTGAGTAATGGAGCAATGGAGGAGAGTAACTTGCTCATCCTGCTCCCATGCCAATATAAAATAAAAGAGAATTAAAAGACCATGTTATCAGGTCCTAAAAATCCTTTTACAACAATGAAATCAAGCAGCATTTCCTTTCCCATAAAAGGGTTAGAATAAAAAAAGCAAAGGAGGATAGTGAATGGTCTCCCTGTCATATTTTTCATGCTTACAAACTGAAAGCAGATACAGATATACAAGTCATGCAAAGGGTTAGAATAAAAAAAGCAAAGGAGGATAGTGAACGGTCTCCCTGTCATATTTTTCATGCTTACAAACTGAAAGCAGATACAGATATACAAGTCATGTAATCTAATACACACAGTTTTTCAGGCTCACTTCAATAGAACCTTAATTTTTATTCAACTAGAGGCACTAGTAACTAAGCCTATTACTATAGTTCTCTCAAGCAAGGGTGGACACAGCTGAAAATTTGGCCTTACTCCATAGCTTATTAGATTTCAAAGTAATCAATCAGTAATCACTACTGCATTTAATTAGAAAACGTAGAATAACTCACCTGTAAATCATATGGCTTACCAGCCCTCACTAAAAAACTCAGTAATATACTAGTGTGTGCAAAGTGGACATTTTCATCCAAGAATCCATGTAAGAGTAGTAAACGATTTGGTCTGGAGAAATGGAAATATTAGAGGATTAGGCAAAATAATAGAGCATTTGGGGAAACTACCTAACTCTTAAACTATTGTACTACCTAACTCTTTTAAACTATTATACTTAACTATATTAACTTCCTTATACTATAATGTTAAAAAAAATTCAATATTTTTAATATTAAATTTGTAATATATAATCAGATGCCACATGTAATAAAAGATTTAAAGATAAGATCATGTGTTCAATTTCTTACGAAAATATTAGAACATATCAATAATTATAGCATGTCCCTAGAAAAACTACTTGTAAAATATATTTAAGCAGACATCAAATTTTTTAAATCTTGAAACAGTTGTGTACTTAACTTCTTTCAGTATAAGCAAATGCTTCAAATATAACTTGTAAAAAAACCCAGATTATATGAACTGGCCAGTAATTTCAGATTTGAGAAACAGCCATGCCATTCTAGTACTCTATAAACTATTAGTCTTGGATTTTTAGTATTTGAAGTTTTCATTATTATTAAAGACAATTTTAAAAAATACAATTTAAAAATTTTAATATTAATTTTAAAGTATGAACTTACTCAGAGGGGAACTTTTCTGCTTGCATGGCCACAGATCCTAAGTAATAGCCTTGTTCATTCTGGTCAGGGTGACCCATATAACGTTCCGTGTATCCTGTGTCATAGAAGATCCACAGAGTGACTGGGGCTCCAGCAATAGCAACCTGAGTAAGACAACATTGACAGTCAACTGTTGTCCAAAAAACAGTGGCTAGCAATGAAAACTTACAACTGCAAATTTACAGGCTAAAATCACCCTTAGGCTTTAGCCCCACTACTCGTGCATTCATGGTCTCAGGCAACTCAGAAAACTGAAGTGAAGTGCCAAGGTCAAGGATTTGATACTCTGTTAGTAAGTTTCATATTCCTAGGGTATGCTACATACAAACCCTTAACTTGGGCTAGCTGAAATACACACGTGGGCCCTTTGTTAAAAGGGGAGAATGAACTAAAGCACATGAATGCCTCAGTTTAAATTCATTCCTTCTACTGGGGAAAAATGTGTGAGAACTGTCAGCTTTATAAAGGAAAAGCAGCCACTTTTTTTTTTTTTTTTTTAAGCCTTTGTTGGCAATACAGAATTTAAAACAATAAATGAAATATACTTAAGTACTAAAAACTTGTCTCATTTTAAGGCTTCTACACAGTTTTGTACTTAAATAATCTAATTACTTTCTTGACAGCTGCAAGCCTAGGAAAATCATGGCAGTTTTCAGAGTTCATTTGTGGTTATTATAAAGATTATCTGAATATACATGAAAAAACAAAACCTTATTGTTTTTGTCGTTAAAAATAAAAATTAGGTCTGGCTGGTTAGCTCAACTGGTTAGAGCATAGTGCTGATAACACCAAGGTCCAGGGTTTGATCTCTGTGCCAGCCGGTTGCCAAAAAAACAAATAAATAAAAATAACTTTTCATTGTAAAATAAAAGTTAAAAATAAAAATTAGGTCTGGCTGGTTAGCTCAACTGGTTAGAGCATAGTGCTGATAACACCAAGGTCCAGGGTTTGATCCCTGTGCCAGCCGGTTGCCAAAAAAACAAATAAATAAAAATAACTTTTCATTGTAAAATAAAATCATGGTTCTGAAATATTAAAAAAACAAAAATACTACTCATAATTCCTACTCCCTTAACAACTGTTATCATCTTTATGTATTTTCTTCTAGTACATTTTCCTAAGAGTTTTTTACAGAACTGTAAGAATTTGTATATTTAATAATTCATTCATGAACACAGATTTATTGAGGGTCTACTATGTGCCAAGTATTGTGCTTGGCTGCTGAGGATTCAGTGGTGTACAGGGCAAACAGGTCCCTGATGTTAGAGTTTGCAGTCCAACAATTAAACAAATAATTACAATCCAATATGTGTATTTTACTAATCACGACTATCTCCCATAATCTTTGGCATATGTCTATAAATAGCCAATAAGTGGTCACCAAGTAGACAAGTGTTTTTAAAATATATATATATACACACTTTATATATATAAAATGTTTAATATATATTTTATATGTCTATGAAACACACAAACCTTAAAGTTAACATTGCTTCATACTGCCAACTCTGTAAACTTTCAGAATATAGGCATTTTTACATTTCCTCATTTTACAGAAAATTCAACCCCTTATTGCAAAAATGAGTACAATAGGAAGTCACGTACCCTGAAGATATCTGACCTCTGCATTAATGCCATCAGGGAGAGGTATCCTCCATAGGACCAGCCATGGATGCCCACACGGTCTAAGTCAATGAAATCATATCGAGAGGCTAGATACTGAAGTCCTTCCACCTGATCATCAATTTCTATTTGACCCTGTCATAAGAAGGAGAATATTTCACTGATTCTGATGAATAAAAAAGTTTCATTACTAAGACTGCTTTTAAAGCTGATAAATGTTTTTACTAAAAATACCTGGACTTTTTTTAGATATGAATTTCGTTATCAATGAGATTCTGTTGCCCCCCCCCCAAAAAATATTTCAAAAAATCTATTTAGAGATAGGGGTCTACAGCTTATGTTAGTAGCCTGTTCTACAGTTTAGTTACCCCTTAATCATCAAGTTCTTTCCTATTGCTACCCAAACTGTCCCTTGCTATTTGGGTATTTCTCATTTTCATTTGTTCTGTTGTCTGCTAAGAGGTCAGTATCTTCCTTGTAACAAGCCTTCCTATACCCAAAGACAAAAAATGAGCCCTCTTAAGCAATACATTAATTTTACTTCTCATTTTCAATATTTAGTGCAGTAAAGCAGAGGGAATCACTCTTGAGGCCCTGTCTTCCTATTTCCCCATCATAATACTTCTAGGAACTGAACACACTATTTCTTTAAAGTCCTGTTAAGTCCTAATTCCTATCACCACCACCACCCTTTCTATATTACTAGGCCTGCCAGTGCACACAATTTCACTTCACTGAGCCAAAACCAAAAATAAAAACAAAAAAACTTACATGAGAATACAACATAAGGTCAAAGAACTGGCTGTGGGAGAAAATCCCCATGTCTTACTCAGCATGTCCAATACACTGGCAAACACAGTAACTGCCTTACTGTGCAAAAGGAACATCGGATTCTCATCATTTCCCAAAGCAGCAGAAAGGACATAGGGCATCTCTAAAAGGTAGCATTTAAAGCTTCCTGCAGAGAGAAAGAGGCTTGTCACAAGGAAGGCACTAACCAGTTGGATTCCCTCTTCACAGAGGACAGAACAAATCTCAATTATTCCTCAATAGTGTACAAGATGCTGAAAACTAAATGGTGCTGCCTTCCGGCTAAGGTGGACATACAAAATGGAAAGAGAGTATTTCTATGTAAAAGTGGCTCTATTTCAGCTCCCCAAAGTTACATACAGGTAGACATGAGCTAGCCTGGTATATGTCAACTTGCACCTTCCCTCCCACCCCTGAATTCTAACACACACACACACACACACACACACACTCTTCTTTCTCTCTCTCTAGCTCTCATTCATAGCCGCTTCCTGCAACTCTCTTTCAGGGGTTCCATACCAAACAATGAATCAGAAAATGTAAATGTATTTAGAAGAAATCTCTCTCTCTAGCTCTCATTCATAGCCCCTTCCTGCAACTCTCTCTTTCAGGGGTTCCATACCAAACAATGAATCAGAAAATGTAAATGTATTTAGAAGAAAAGTGTTTTTATGTTCACACACCATTTTATATTTAAATGCGCCTTCGAATTTAAGCCCTCGGTGACAGGATCCCCTGTTGTCTATCACCACAACCACATAACCCAGAGAGGCTAGGGTATTCAAGCGGAAATACTTGACTCCTTTAAACCGATTATTCACCAACTGAACCTGAAGAAGAAATACAGCTTACAGTGAAATTTATTACATGGTAGCATACAAAAGCACAAGAGGGGCAGAACAGTGCAAAAAATAGAAAGCTTAAATTTTTAATACTATTTTGCCTTTAAAATATAATTTTTAAGGGACTTCTTTTTAAATGAACTTAAGTCTTTTTATGTTTATGTTGCCTCTTGCTTAACTTCACACTCAAGGTTCAGGGTAATTACTGAAAAACGATAGGCTTTAAAACTTTAACTTAGATATCAATTACATATAAGACAAGAGAATTAACCTACCTTATTGAAAAAGTTACTAAGCTGATTACTTCTACCCCAAAGAAAAATTGTGTCATTCAAATGACAGTGACAAGAATAAATAAGATGATCTTCCCTCTCCACTCTCTTCTGGGGTTGTCTCCGACCAGTAGTGGGAAAATTTAGTATTTTAATGGAACACTATGACCAGTCCAGCTTTCTTTTCCGTGTTACACAAATCAGTGTAAAAATTAGGATAATTTTAAAATTATTTTATCACCTGAGAGACTGAGAATTTAAACATATTTTATTTATTTATTTATTTATTTATTTTTCCTTTTTGTCTTTTTTACTGACCGGTAACGGGATCGCAACCCTCGGTATTGCGCCCGTACTGGGGACCGGCAATGGGATCGCAACCCTCGGTGTCGCGCCCGCACCTCGCTCAGCCAGTGAGCGGGAACCGGTCTCCACATGGGATCCGAACCCTCGGCGGGAGCGCCACTGCGCTCCCAAGCGGCGCACTCTCCAGTGCGCTACTGGGCCGGCCCAAGAAGTTAAACATATTTTAGTGTTTTACCAGAAATAGAATATCTAGTGAAAAGAAGACTATAATCAGTGAACAGAAAGTTACAGAAGTTCAAGGTCGGTGGACCCTAAGATAGATGTTAAACAAAAAAAGGTTGTGATAAAAATGAAAAAGAAGTTTCCTCTGGCTAAAACCAATGGGAAAAACAAGTCAGCCAGGAGTTAGATAAGTATTACCATTCTCTCCACTCAAGAAATATCTACTGAACATTTACTGGGCTAGATGGGGGGCGATGGGGAAGAAGAGTCCTCCCTTTTTGCACTTTTGGATGCTTAATACCACTGCAACAAAGGTCAAGGGTTTGGATCCCCTTACCAGCCAGCTGCCCATCCCCCCAAATAATAATACCAGTGCAACAATTGTCAAATGGGTCTTCCTACTCCTATTTTTGTCTTCCTATAGTCTCTCTGTTCATGCTGTAACAGAGTGATGATGTTTTAAAAATGTAAATTAGATATGACTGCTGCTGGGCTCCCTCCAATGGTTACCATGACCATTCAGAGCAAGGTCTAAACTTGTCACATAAGCCTTTGAGACCCTAGATTATCTGGCCCTTGGCTATCTCTGACCTCACCTCCTACATTTCTGCTCTGTGTACTGTACTCTAACTTTATTATCAACACCATCAAGTTGGTTTTAACCCCAGGCAGGACCTTGACATTTATTTTTCTCTCTGCCTGGAATACTCTTCCCTCAGATCTTTAACACAGCTCATCTCTTCTCAACATTTGTACCCTTAAGAAAGGTATTCCATTAACTTCCTATCAGAACTTCCATCTTGGGCCGGCCTGTGGCTCACTCGGGAGAGTGTGGTGCTGATAACACCAAGGCCACGGGTTCGGATTCCATATAGGGATGGTTGGTTAGCTCGCTGGGTGAGCATGGTGCTGATGACACCAAATCAAGGGTTAAGATCCCCTTACCGGTCATCTTTAAAAAAAAAAAAAGAACTCTCATCTTAGTCACTTTACCATCCCCCTTCCCAGCATTTCTCTATAGCACTTCCATATATAAAGTCATATATTTTATATGTCCACCTGTTTACTATCTTCTCCATTACAATTCATGAAGGTGGAACATTAATCTGACTTGTTCACTGTGATACCCTCAGTGCCTAGAATAGTACTTAGCACATAATAGAAACCCAATAACTCTTTGCTGAATGAATGAATTAAAAATAGAAACAAAAGAATGATGTTTTCTCTTCCTACCTTGGGAAGAGGGGGTTTGGCAGGTAGGTAAAGCTGCTTGTTTTTAAAGTGAGAGAGCCAAAAAAAAAAAAAAAAAGAAATACTAGGCAAATAACACAAATGTAAGCATTTAAAGAAAACCACCTCACTTCTTTGCCTGCTATCACACCTCAGTGGCCTGATATGAACACTTTCTCCCAGAGCCAGTGTTTTTGCCTTTGCAGCCTGGAGGCCTGCTACTTCTGGAAAAAGGTACCTGAACATATTGCCCTTTGGCACTGGGAATCCAAATCTCCCTCAGTAACAATTCTTTGAAATCTGTGTCCTGCTATCACCTAGCCTTATCTCTTTGCATTTACTTTTGCAGAATGTTGTCTGGCTCATTCTAGGAAGCATCATAGGTATTTTTTAAACAAGCATTTAAAAACATACAGCTGTTATCAATGGAGAGTTTAAGGAATCAAGCCTTGAAGACTTTAGTGGGAAATATCCATTGCTTTTCTTATATTTCTTGGATTTTGCTCTTTTCTGACCTACAAAAATTGTTGCCCTTAGGACAAAATAATTCACTTCATGTTATGAATTGTGACACTGTTGCTATTTCAATGGATTCCCACTTTAACTTGAATAGACACCAAGAAAGAACAGTTTGAGCCACAAGAACATTGCAGTCATAAGATTTAACCAAATTTTACAGGGAATTGTGTGCTACAAGAAAGATCTGGTCTTACATATAGGAGTCTCTTCATAATTAACCCAAATGGAGTCATCGAGCAAAGCATGAATGATCTTCAGCAGGTTCAAGTGCCAGAGGCTCTAAGTCATGTGAAGTCTCATGGGGAAATCTCTCTGCAAAGTGAACACTAGATTCTCCTGTGGCCTCACCAAATTTGAATAGCTCCAAAGAATACTTTGAGAAACAAATCAATAAATTCTCCTAAGTTACCAACAGTTTTTCAAAAAACACATCATGAAATACACTTATAGCATTTCAAATATGACAGTTCCTATAAGTGCAAAAAAGTATAGCTGTATTCATAAAGGACTCCAAACAAACAATTTTGGTTTAATTAATTGGCTAAAGCTTTTTTATTATGGTAAAGTAAACATAAAATTTACCATTTAAACTATTTTAAGTGTTCAATCCAGTGACATTAAATATATATTCACACTGCTGTGCAAACATCACCATTATCCATTTCTGGAAATTTTTCATCATTCTAAACAGAAAATCCATAACCGTTAAGTAACTCCCCTTTCCCCTTCCCTCCAGTCCCAGACAACCTCTATTCTACTTTCTATGAATTTGCCTGTTATAGTACCTCATACAACTGGAATAATGCAATATTTGCCCTTTTGTGGCTGCCTTATTTTACTTAGCATGAAGTCCTCAAGGTTCATCCATGTGGCAGCATGTGTCAGAATTTCCTCCTTTTTAAGGCTGAACAATATTTGATTGTGTGTATACACCACATTTTGTGCATCCATTCATCTGTTGATAGATAGTTGGGTTGCTTCCACCTTTTGGATATTGTGAATAAAGCTGCTATGGGCCGGCCCGGTGGCGCACTGCTATAGTGCGCCGCTTGGGAAGCGCAGTGGTGCTCCCGCCGAGGGTTCGGATCCCACATACAGAC